ATTGTAAGGGGAGGGGGTGTCAATTATGGTGAACTTTGTCTTCACCCTCTTGGTGCTAGCCTGCACCACTAAGCTTGTTGCTCCCAGGGGCCATGTCTGCGTTCCATTGAACCCAACCATTGGGCCGTTGGACTGTTCCAAGTCATCTTGGTGAAGGCCAAGCTCCTTGTAACACCTGACATACATGATGTCACAAGAGCTGCCCTGGTCGACTAAGATGCGCTTCACTTGGCACTCTTCAATCTGGAGGAATATTACCAAGGCATCGTTGTGTGGATGTTGCACCATCTCCAGGCCTTTCTCAGTAAAAGACACCACTGGTCCTTGGCTCTTGCCTGCCCTATGTCTCTTTTTTCCGACCTGATATACATGTTGCAGGTGTTTTACCTTTTGGGTTTCCCCCCTTATCTCATTCTCATTTACCTTTGAGTGGATTACATTGATCACTTGAGGTCCGCCTGCCTGTGGTTGTGGTGCTGGTGGGGTTGGTGTTGTTGGTGCTTGGGGCAGTCTTGTCTGCCCTTCCCTTGTTCTGGCTGCATCTACCATGTCCCTTAAATGGCCTTGTCTTACCAGGTCTTCTAGATGTGTCTTCAGGGCTCTACACCCCTGAGTCAGATGTCCAGCTTCATTATGGTAAGCACAGTGCTTGTCAAGGCTTCTTCCCATGAACTCGCCCGGTACCCTTACTGGTGCTCTGTAGTACGATTGATTGCGGATTTTCTCCAAGACTTTGTAAATCGGAATTCGAAATATGGTTGTGACTGCCTGAGCAGCCCTTAATCCGATTTTTGGTTTGTTGTAGCCACCGTCACGTTGGCCTCGCTTCGGTGAGCCATTTTTCTTCTCTGGTTTCAGCCCTTTGTTCCCGGTGTATCCTCCTCGGCCCTAGCGTACTTCTCTAGTCTGGCCATTAATTCTTCCATACTTTTTGGCAGTGTTTTTGCCAATGATTTTCAGACCAGGCAATTATCTTTTAGGCCGTTCTTAAATGATACGACCGCCACCTCTTGGTTGTATTCTGGTATCCGGTTGAATACCTCATAGTACCTTTTGGCATAGACCCTCAGGCTTTCATCCTCGCCAATTTTCAGAGCCATCACGGCATCCGCCCTTAATGGTTGTAGTTTGTTCGTCACGAACCTGGCCACAAACATCTCGGCCAGGCCTTCCCAGGTTTTCACAGTTCCTTTTGGCAACTTGTGAAACCAGTCTAATGCAATTTCTCCGAAGGATGAGGGGAACACCTTGCAAATCAACGGCTCATTCCCGGTGTATAACGCCATCGAGTTCAGGTACAAACCGACGTGAAAGTTGGGGTCCGACTTCCCGTCGTAGATCTGGAATCTCGGCATGCTAAACCTCTTCAGGGCTTCGAATTTGTCCAATTCTACCGATAATGGCGTTCTTGGCTTGACCGGGGAGGTTACCTCGGCATCTTGTTGCCTCCTCTGTAGGTAATCCCTTAGGTCCTCCTTGCTCCGACCAGGAGCTCTGCTATCTCCTGATTTCAGCCTTTTAGGCGCACTACTCTCAACTTCATTGTAAGCCCTCTTCGACCTTTCTCCATTAGTTGCGTCGAAGCACAACTCTTGCCCTTGAACATGCCGATGTTGTTTGGGGTCTGCTTCCTTGGTGTGATGTGTCCTTCGAGATTCTTCCCTTCTCGACTCTCCTCGCCCGACCTCCTTTGAAGGCCAGTGAGAGTGTTTTTCCCTCCTGGTGTGCTGGGAGACTGTAGGGACTGTTTTCTGCCTATCTTGTCAGGCATCTTTCTTAGCCGCTGGAATTGGTGTATCTTGTAACGGGAACGGTGGCTGCATGACGTTGTTCTGCATCATGAAATTGACGACCGTTTGCAGGTCTGCCAATTTGTTTGCTATTCCCTTTACCTCATCGTCCCTCCATAGGCATCTATCCTTCCATACCTGAAGGTCGTCCTCGTTGTAATACCCGCTTTGGTCTGTTTTCTTTGGTACGTCGCCTTCCTAGCCTTCGTCCTTTCGTGATTCTGATCACGAGTCTCTTTGTTGCAGTTGTCTTCTTCGATGTCAAGGTCAACAGGTTTCCCACTCCCAATAGGAGTGTCATCCCCAATCTTCTCTTTCTGTCCGTCATTGGCCATCTATTCTCCTTTCTTTCCCACAGACGGTGCCAAATTGTGAGTGTCAATTTTTGACCACACTGCCAATCAAGCATTCAGCTGGAGGACACTAGCAGAATAGATTAAGCCCAAACGACCTGTCACAAAAAGAAGAGATTTCGGCGGTGGTTTGTCCACCCGGGGGCACTCTGACATTCAAGTCAATTATCTCTCAAAGATAGCAAAAGTGCTTAATTCACTTATTCAGAATACAAAAAAAGTACCTTAGAGCCATGGGGGTGACTCTCTTCTATAGCCAACACAATCCTAATCCTAATAGAAGCCTAGCTTTAATGGACTTAGGATTACTGCTAATCTTAGACTCCTAGTAGAACTAGGATAAACTCTCTAAGAGTCTTATCTTTACCCAAACTGAAGTCCTCTCCCATTCTAGGACCCTTATCCCTTATCCGCTTATCCCGGATTCCGATATCTTCGGAGATAACCTCGGTCTAGCCGAGATCATTTCGGCGTCATGACCAAAACATGTGGCACCCTGGCTGGCACTCCGGTGACACCTCGGCCATGTGTCGTCATTCAAAATTTATGTCCCCACAGTAACTTATTCATGATTCCAGCTCTCTCTGTCTGATTGCCAACTTCAAGCCATTGATTCACTAAAGTCGTGCACTGGGTTAAAAGAGCTCCGACTTGCTCACAATGATATCAAGGTATATATATGTTCTGCTTTTTCAGTTTTGCAATACTATGCTCAGTTTCTTGTGAGCTTTAACTTTGCGACTTAATTATGTTTTTTTCCAAGTCATTTTAAATCTTCCCATTTTTCTTTTGTAGTATTAATTTGATCAATACTACAGATATTTATTGTGGGGACATAATTTTTGAATGATAACACGTGACCAAGGTGTCACCGAAGTGCCAGCCGAGGTGCCACGTGTACTGGTCATGATGTCGAGATGATCTCGGCTAGGCCGAGGTTATCTACGAGAATACCAAAATCCGAGATAAGCGGATAAGGGACAAGAGTCCTAGAGTGGGAGAAGACTTCAGTTTGGGTAAAGATAAGACTCTTAGAGAGTTATCTTAATCCTACTTGGAGTCTAAGATTAGCAGTAATCTTAAGTCCATTGAAGCTAGGCTTCTATTGGGACTAGGTTTGTATTGGCTATAAAAGAGAGGCACCCTCATGGGTCTAAGGTATGCTTTTATGCTCTGAATAGTGAGTTAAGCACTTTTGCTATCATTGAGAGATAACTGACTTGATCGTCGGAGTGCCCCCGGGTGGACAAACCACCGTCGGAATCTCTTCTTTTTGTGATTGGTCGTTCGGGCTTAATCTATTCTGTCAGTGTTCTCCAGCTGAGTGCTTGATTGGCAGTGTGGTCGGAAATTGACACACACAATTTGGCGTCGTCTATGGGAAAGAAAGGAGAATAAATGGTCAACGGCAGACAGAAAGAGAAGATCAGGGATGACACTCCTACTGGGAGTGGAAAATCTGTTGACCTTGACGTCGAAGAAGACAACTGCAACGAAGAGACTAGTGATAAGAATCACGGAGGAAAGGACGAAGGCCAGGAAGGCGACATACCAAAGAAAACAGACCGAAACAAGTATTACAACGAGGACGACCTTCAGGTATGGAAGGATAGATGCTTATAGAGGGACGATGAGGTAAAGGGAATGGCGAACAAATTGGCGGACCTGCAAACGGTCGTCAATTTCATGATGTAGAACAACGTCATGCAACCACCGTTCCCGTTACAAGATACACCGATTCTAGCGGCCAAGAAAGATGCCCGACAAGATGGGCAGAAAACAGTCCCTACAGTCCCCCAGCACACCAGGAGCGAAAAACACTCTCACTGGCCCTCAAGGGAGGTCGGGCGAGGAGAGTCAAGAAGGGAAGAATCTCGAAGGACACATCGCCCCAAGGAAGCAGACCCCAAAGAACATCGGCATGTTCAAGGGCAAGAGTTGTGCTTCGACGCAACTAATAGAGAAAGGTTGAAGCAGGCTCACAATGAAACTAAGAGTAGTGCACCTAAAAGGCTGAAGTCAGGAGATAGCCGAGCTCCTGGTTGGACCAAGGAGGACCTAAGGGATTACCTACAGAGGAGGCAACAAGATGCTGAGGTAACCTCCCCGGTCAAGCCAAGAACGCCATTCTCGGTATAATTGGACAAATTCGAAGCCCCAAAGAGGTTTAGCATGCCGAAATTCTAGATCTACGACGGGAAGTCGGACCCCAACTTTCACGTCGGTTTGTACCTGAACTCGATGGTGTTATACACCGGAAACGAGCCATTGCTTTGCAAGGTCTTCCCTCATCCTTCGAAGAAATTGCATCAGACTGGTTTCACAAGTTGCCGAAAGAAATTGTGAAAACCTGCGAAGGCCTAGCCGAGATATTTGTGGTCAAGTTCGTAACGAACAAACTACAGCCATTAAGGGTGGATGTCGTGATGGCTCTGAAAATTGGCGAGGATGAAAGCCTGAGGGCCTATGCCAAAAGGTAATATGAGGTATTCAATCGGATACCAGAATGCAACCAAGAGGTGGCGGTCGTATCATTTAAGAGCGGCCTAAAAGATAATTGTCTACTCCAAAAATCATTGGCGAAAACACTGCCAAAAAGTATAGAGGAATTAATGGCCAAAATAGAGAAGTACGTTAGGGCCGAGGAGGATACGCCGGGAACAAAGGCGCCGAAACTAGAGAAAAAAATGGCTCGCCGAAGCGAGGCCAACGTAATGGTGGCTACAACAAACCAGAAATCGGATTAAGGGCTACTCAGGCAGTCCCAACCGTATTTCAAATTCCGGTTTACAAAGTCTTGGAGAAAATCCGCAATCAACCGTACTACAGAGCACCAGCAAGGGTACTAGGCGAGTTTATGGGAAGAAGCCTTGACAAGCACTGTGCTTACTATAATGAAGCTGGACATCTGACTCAGGGGTGTAGAACCCTGAAGACACATCTGGAAGACTTGGTAAGACAGGGCCGTTTAAGGGACATGGTAGATGAAGCCAGAATAAGGGAAGGGCAGGCAAAACTGCCCCAGTCACCAACAGCACCACCCCCACCAACACCACAACCACAGGCAGGCGGACCTCGAGTGATCAATGTGATTCACTCAAAGGTAAATGAGAATGAGATAAGGGGGGAAACCCAAAAGGCAAAACACCTGCAACATGTATATCAGGTCGGGAAAAAGAGACCTAGGGCAGGTGAGAGCCAAGGACCAGTGGTGTCCTTTACTGAGGAAGACCTGAAGATAGTGCAGCATCCACACAACGATGCCTTGGCAATATCCCTCTAGATTGGAGAGTGCCAAGTGAAGCGCATCTTAGTGAACCAGGGCAGCTCTTGTGACATCATGTATGACAGGTGTTACAAGGAGCTTGGCCTTCACCAAGATGGCTTGGAACAGTCCAACGGCCCAATGGTTGGGTTCAATGGAACGCCGACATGGCCCTTGGGAGCAGCAAGCTTAGAGGTGCAGGCTGGCACCAAGAGGGTGAAGACAGAGTTCACCATAATTAACACCCCCTCCCCTTACAATGCAATTTTGGGAAGACCATGGCTGCATGCAATGGGGGCTGTTCCCTCAACATTGCACCAGCTGCTGCGATTCCCAACAGAGCATGGGATAGATGAGGTTAGAGGGGATCAAATGCAGGCAAAGAATTGCTCCATGGCAGCAATAAAATCTACCTGCAACATTCGGGAAGAAAAACCAGCAGAGGTTGAGGATGAAGACATGGAAGTCCTGGAGGACGTCGGCAAAAAGCCAGCCGAAAAGAGTAAAGAAGCCCTGAAGAAAGTCCTTGTCCAACAAGAGGACGAATAACGCTTCTTCTTTCTCGGCTCGGGCTTGACCGAGGAAGAAAAAAAAGAAATGGAGGTGTTCTTGAGAACAAACATTGAAGTGTTTGCCCAGACGCCTTACGAGATGACTGGCATTGACCCCGAGGTCACTTGGCACAGACTGAATGTGGACAGGTCAGCCAAACCTGTAATCCAACGAGCCAGAAGGCCGACGTTGACGCACGTTGAGGCAGTAGAAGAAGAAGTGGACAGATTTCTGGAGACTAGAGCCATTCGAGAGGTAAATTACCCGACATGGCTATCAAATACGATTGTTGTGAAGAAAAAAAATGGGAAGTGGAAGGTCAGTGTGGACTTCCCTAGCCTGAACAAAGCTTGTCCCAAAGACAGCTTCCCATTACCCAAGATTAACCAACTGGTGGATGTCACTTCAAGACATGGAAGGATGAGCTTCCTGGATGCTTACAAGGGGTACCATCAAATAGCTATGTATCTGCTAGATGAGGAGAAGACTACGTTTATCACCCTAAAAGGGCTGTGTTGCTACAGAGTGATGCCTTTTGGGTTAAAAAACACAGGAGCAACTTACCAGAGATTGGTAACCAAGATGTTCAAACATCTAATTGGTAGAACAGTGGAAGTTTACATCGATGGCATGGTCGTGAAGACCAAGGAACCTGAAAGTCATCTGGCCGACCTAAAAGCAATCTTTGATATCCTTAAAACACATCGGCTCCGACTCAATGCATCGAAGTGTGCATTTGGAGTTGAGTCTGGTAAGTTCTTAGGATATTTGGTAACTAGAATGGGCATTGAGGCAAGCCCAAATCAGATCAAGGCTATCTTAGAACTAAAGAGCCCAACATCAACAAAACAAGTGCAGATGTTGACTGGAAGGGCTGCAGCCCTGAACAGATTCATAAGCAGAAGTTTTGATAAATATAAGCCTTTCTTCAGCTTAGTAAAGAAAGCCACAGACTTCTTATGGATCGACGAATGCGAAGCCGCCTTGACCGATTTAAGGAAGTATTTGACCACAGCTCCAGTTCTCTCAAATCCAGTACCTAGAGAGGAGCTGTTCTTATACTTGGCAGTTTCAGAACATGCAGTAAGTGCAATTGTAACCCGAAAAGAAAAGGGAGAACACAGGGCTCTTTACTATGTAAGTAAAACCCTTGCAGATGCAGAGACCAGATATCTACCCTTAGAAAAGTTAACACTGGCTTTAGCAATGGCTTCCAAGAAACTGAATCATTACTTTCAAGCCCACAAAATTGTAATGTTAACTGAACACCCCTTGAGGTCCCTGTTGCAGCAAGGAGATCTGACAGGCAGAATAGCCAGATGGGCAATGGCCTTGGGCCAATATGACTTGGAATTCAAACCCAGAACAGCAATCAAAGGCCAAGTTTTGGCCGACTTCGTGGCCGAGTTCACACCAGGTTCCATCACACATCGGGCTCCGTTGAGCTAAGCTGTGCGATGTCCACGTGAGAGAAAAATCCCAGCAAGGGGCAACAGAGCAAAGGAACAAAGAAAAACTTAGGCCCTGCAGTATTTACATGGGCGACTCCTTCCAGTTGTTTGTGGATGGGAGTTCAAACCTACGAGAAGCGGGGGCAGGAGTAGTACTAGTATCGCCAGATGGGCAGATACTGGAACAATCCATTCGTTTGGGGTTTAAGGCCTCAAAAATTGAAGCAGAGTATGAAGCGCTGATCGCAGGACTAAAGCTGGCAGCAGCCATGGAAGCCGACGAGGCAATAGTCATTTGTGACTCCGAACTGATAGTCAATCAGGCAACAAGGGAATTTGTAACCCGAGATGAACGGATGTCGACCTACGCAAAGGAAGTAGGCAAACTGGTAGGCTTATTTCAAAATTGCCGACTACAGCAGGTAAACTAAGATGACAACAGCCATGCCGATGCTCTGGCCAACCTGGCTAGTGCAATGAAGCCTGGTGAGGCAAGAACAATAATGGTTGACTACTTGTCAAGACCAAGCATAGAACCACTGAGCACAAAGCGTGAAGCAATGTGAGTGGAGATGGGACCAAGTTGGATGGATACAATAGTAGCATTCCTTAAAGAAGGAAAATTACCAGACGACCATAAAGAAGCGCACAAGATCAGACTGAAGTCGGCAAGATTCAGTTTGACAGCAGAACGCCATCTCTACAGAAGATCCTTTACTGGAACCCTTCTGAGGTGTGTGCATCCTGCACAGGTTGAAGACTTTCTGTACGAAATACATGAAGGAGTATGTGGAAGCCACACTGGGGCAGGTCACTTGCTCATAGGGCCATTACACAGGGGTATTGGTGGCCCTACATGCAGAAAGATGTTGAAACCTATGTCAAGAAGTGTGAGAAGTGCCAAAGGTTTGCACCCTTCGTACACCAACCAGCAGCAGACTTGAACCTAGTGTCCAGCCCTTGGCCATTTGCCCAATGGGGCATGGATCTTGTTGGAAAATTGCCTCAAGCAACTGGACAAAGGAAGTACCTGCTGGTAGAAACAGATTACTTCACCAAGTGGGTAGAGGCTGAACCCCTTGCCAAGATTCAGGACGTTGATATGAAGAACTTCATATGGAAGAACATCATCACCAGGTTTGGAATCCCAAGAGCAATAATAGCTGACAATGGCACACAGTTTGACAGTAAGCTAATCCAGAGCTTCTGTGCAAAGTTCAAAATCAAGAATTATTTTTCCACCCCAAGTTTTCCTCAAAGCAATGGACAAGCAGAAGCATCCAACAAAGTCATCTTGAATGGAATTAAGAAGAGGCTGCAAAGTGGGTGGATGAACTACCAAATGTACTCTGGGCATATCGGACTACGCCGAGAAGATCAACTGGGGAATCCCCATTTGTCATCGCTTATGGCACAGAAGCAGTCATTCCTCTGGAGGTCGGCATCCCAAGGATCAGAACCTAAGGAGTAGAGAATAGAACTAATGATGTATTTATAGCCTGAGATCTGGATCTGCTAGAAGAGAGAAGGGAGAAAATAGCAATTCAGCTGAGGGCATACCAGCAGCAGCTTGCCAGGGCTTATAATAAGAAGGTGAACCCACGAGAGTTACAAGTTGGTGACCTCGTCCTGAGAAAGGTCGTCGGCAACCAGAACGATCCCAGAGACCCTGGGACTGAGGCATATCGACTTGAGGACTGTGAAGGCAAAGAATTGCCAAGACCCTGGAATACTTGCAATCTAAAGTTTTCTACCACTAGATTTTCTCGTTTTCTAAGATTTCTTTTTATCTTGTTATTAGCAGAAGTAATAAAGTTTTAGCTTGATCTTTAAACTTGTGTAATATGATTGACCGGATACTTAACAATGTTTTTAAGCGAAACATGACGAATAACTTAGACTCATTATATGGCAGAGTAGAACTTTTACTTGCATATAATAGAGTTAAACTAAGTTGGTGATGTTTCTAAGCGAAACATGACGAATAACTTAGATTCATTATATGGCAGAGTAGAACTTTTACTTGCATATAATAGAGTTGAACTAAGTTGGCGATATTTCTAAGCGAAACATGACAAATAACTTAGAATTATTATATGGAAGAGTAGAACTTTTACTTACATATAATAGAGTTGAACTAAGTTAGGGTAACCTAGACTTGTCATATTGATAGAATCAAACTCAGATTGGAACTAAGTACATATCAGTCAGATTAACAAAGAAACCGAGGTTGTTTACCTCGGCCAGTCTTTGTTTGAATCTGACCTCTGCAACAAGGTCACAGCCCCAGTCTTAAATGAGAACCCAAGTGGAACTTAGGTTCACATTAGGCGGCAGAGGACTGGAAAATGATGCTTGGAAGATTGGTTTAACACTTGTTGAAATTTGAGAAAAATTTACAAGTTAAAGTTAAACCGAGGTCATGTTTAACACTTGTTGAAATTTGAGAAAAATTTACAAGTTGAAGTTAAACCGATGTCATGTTTAACACTTGTTGAAATTTAAGAAAAATTAACAAGTTGAAGTTAAACCGAGGTTGTAATGAAGGAAGTACTTATGTACTTACCGAGATAAAAATGTCTATTTTTGACCGAGGGACATCACCCCGAGAAGATTGCACAGACTAAGGTGTATGTTGAAAACATCCAAATTATTCTGAGTATAGAGTCATATAAAGAAGACAAACATACAAGCATTCAAAAGAGGAAATTGTATTTACATTCAAAAGAAAGGCACAACGGCCACATGAAGAGCTTACATTGTTTCAAAGAAAGAAGAAAGTACAAGGTACAGGAAAAAGAGAAAAACATCAAACTACGACTCTTCGGTGTCTCTGGCTGGTTGGGTCTAGAGTTCAGAAGACTGCTGAGAAGACATTTCAACGACCTTTTCAGCAGCGAGCTCAGCATCGATTTCTTGAAGGGTTCTGTCGAGGCTCTTGTCGGCAATAGGCACGTCCGATGTTGCCTTCTCAAGAGTAGCGTCTTTGGAGACCTCCTCACCCTCCTCATCCTG